GCGACCATTTTGAGCGGATACTGATAATACATACATCAAACATGGTAGAATAATTATAATCAATGTAATACACATTCTGAGTCCCCACTTGATCTCTTGATCTTAACAGCTATTTTAATAAGTCTGAGCATAGTACTTAGTGTTTGTTTATATATATGTTACAGTTTGATCAATCAGCGACCACCAGCACTTACGTTTTCAAAACAACAGTTCAGGTGGGGACTCAGACTGGGTATTACATTGATTATAATTACTCTACCATGTTTGAGGTATGTATTATCAGTCAGTATCCGCTTGGAATGGTCGCCGGTCCATTCTGGGTTCTAGTGGCCTTAATATGCCCACTAGAGTGTGCACATGGTGTCCGATATTTTTAAGCTGACAGATGAGGTATCAGTCAGTTGATGATTATCAGTTCATGCTTATTCAGTACCAGTTTCAGTTCAGTTATATATACTAGGATCATGTTATTGTAATTATTTTCACTGTTTACTTTAGTATGAGTTCCTACGGAGCACAGTGACTTTTAGTGCTCACGCCCCACAATGTTTATGTTTTTCAGGTTACAGGGTCGGTTCAGGGGAGTGAGCTGGTTGGTGGATCGTGGTCCCGGAAATGGCTCCCAACCATTGTACATTATTGTACCGTTATGTTATGCCACGTTTAACTTCCGCTGACATTTTACGACTTTTCAACTGACATGTCAGTTTTCATATGTTGATCCGATTTATCGGTCAGGCTTTTATAAAGTATTACATGCTAGTTGATTCAAAATAGTCCGTTGAGTCTTCAAAATTAAATTTAAATAAAGCTAACGGATTTTCAAGGCAATGTATGATTTTCTATAGACCGTGCAATTGAATTTTTATTGTCGAATTAATATATAATTATGTATTTATTCAATGATAACTAAATTTATATGGTTGTTTTCTAATTAGCGTGACAGCACAACCCAACTGTGTTCCATGCCTCTAGTAGTGTGTTTCCTAAATCTTATTACTCACCAATTTTTTAATTTAAGTTTGTTAATTATATATTCTTTGTATGACAAATGACAAAACCATTGTTTTTCAACCTGTACGGGACCAGCGGGTCGATTCGAGACCCAATCGACCAAGAGCTAGAACTGATCTGAATAGGCTTTTTGGACCGGGTAACATTAATGGACCCGGTCAAAACCCGGACAACCTTGCCTTGACCCGGTTGACTCGGTCGACCCGGATCATTGACTTGGCCGGGTCAACCGTCTATATATATATATATTATATTTCTGTATAAAAATATAAAAATTATGTAAATATATTGATATAGTAAATATTATTCTGAGATACAATTATTTTAACACTTTGATTTACAAATTTTATATACAAAATATTTATTTTTGTTACTTTTATGTATATTTATATGTCAAAAATATTATATATATAATTTAAATTTTTTTATAATTAATTATCTGATTCAACAATTGACCCGATGACCCAGCAGTTGAATCAAAGACCTGTCCGGATCGATTTCTCGGGCGAAATTTAAAAACTATGGATAATAGTGTTTTAAACACCTCAAGCAACAGATGTTTGTGAAACCAAAAAAAAAAATAAA